AGTCTCAAAGAGAATGTTTGACCTAACAGCAAAAGTCGAATCGATATTTTACCTACACCTATATAAAGCCCTGAGGCTAACTACAACACTAAAAATACAAAACCAACTTGGCATACACCTGCACTTTATAACCTGTCTGATATTTGTACCAGAGGACCAATTCCTCTTTTCTCTCTCCTATATATAGACCTTTTCACCAGGTTCCTACTGGTCTAAATAATCCTGGCAAACATTCTAGTTACCTTTAAACTGTCTGCTATCGACGTGCCTCGGCGAATAGTTACTTTGATCACTTAAACTAAAAAGCTCTTTCCATTACGTTTGGTTCGACTGCAATTTTGTTTTCGAAAATGCAGACAAAAAAAAAATAAAAACATTCTTTCTTTATTCTATTCGTGATGTTTCACATCTATATATGTATATACACAGAAAACAATGAAATATCTATTAGTAGGATTTAGTGGTTTCGTTATTTACAACAATTTAAAAAAAAACCAAAGTGGTTTAAATATAAAGTAACTTTACATCTGAATATGTTTATTAATGTATTACGTTTTTTAGTAGAAAACTATTTTTTATTTGCTCGTGTTTCCATAGAAACCGTTTCCATGACAACTGTTACCATAGCAACTATTTCTATGACAATCGTTACCATAACAACCATTTTCATGACAATAATCGTTTCCATAGTAACCAGTACCATAGTAACCGTCTCCATAGCAACTGATACCATAGCAACCATTTTCATGACAATAATCGTTTCCATAGCAACCGGTACCATAGTAACCGGTACCATATAGTATCTGGGTCCATAGTAACAAGTACCACAGCAAAACCGGTACCATAGTACCAGGTACCATATAGTATAAGGCCCCATAGTAACTGGTACCATATAGTATCCAGTTCTATAGTAACCGGTAACATAGCAAAACCAGTACCATAGTAACCGGTACCAGAGAAACCGGTGTCATAGCTAAACCGATACCATAGAAAAACTGGTACCATAGTAACCGGTAACATAGCAAAACCGGTACCATAGTTACCGGTACCATAGTAACCGGTACCACAGCAAAACCGGTACCATATAGTATCCGGTTCCATAGTAACCAATACCACAGCAAAACCGGTACCGCAGTAACAGGTACCAAATGGTATCCGGTCCTATAGTAACTGGTACAATAGCAAAACCGGTACCATAGAATCCGGTACCATAGCAAAACCGGTACCATGGTAACTGATACCAGAGTAACCGGAACCATAGCAAAACCGGTACATTAGTAACCGGTACCACATAGTATCCGGTTCCACAGTAACCAGTACCACAGCAAAACCGGTACTGTATTAACAGGTACCATATATTATCCGGTCCCATAGTAACCGGTACAATAGCAAAACCGGTACCATAGTAACCGGTACCATAGCAAAACCGGTACCATGGTAACTGATACCAGAGTAACCGGAACCATAGCAAAACCGGTACCATAGTAACCGGTACCATATAGTATCTGGTTCCATAGTAACCAGTACCACAGCAAAACCGGTACCGCAGTAACAGGTACCATATAGTTCCCGGTCCCATAGTAACCGGTACCATAGTGACCGGTATCATAGTAATTGATACCAGAGTAACCGTTACCATAGCAAAATCGGTTCCATAGTGACCGGTATCATAGTAATTGATACCAGAGTAACCGGTACCATAGCAAAACCGATTCCAAAGTAACTAATACCACAGCAAAACCATATCGTAGTAACAGGTACCATATAGTATCCGGTCCCATAGTAACTGGTACCATATATTATCCGGTTCCATAGTACCTGTTACCATAGTAACCCAACCCCTAGTGTTAAATTAACTATAAATGATAGTAAAAAGTGGATCAAAGAAAAAATAAAGAATAGTTTATTAGGAAAATGTAATATACTAAATTAATCCGTGAAGTTTATCATGCAATTTTTTCTTGTCACCGCATGAATCTCCCAAGCATATGTCCCTATCTCTCCAAATGTCCAGTGGCCTGAATTGGTATGTTAGTTAGGTATAGTGGCAAGTTGCACGTCACCTCGCAATCATTGTGACCTATATATATATTCTCCTACATTAAATTTAGATATCTCGTATATATATATAAAGTCTCGTCTTCTTACATCTCATGTCTAATATCGTCGTTTACACCCAAAGAGACACCTGTCTCTTTCAGGAAATTCCCTATTTCCGGTTCTTGTTTTCTATATATATATATATATATATGTGAACCAGTTTGTTTGCTTTTGAAATAACATTCTATATATCTAATACTCTCGCAATAATTGTAATTGACACAGGACAGTTGACAAATAGTAAATCTGGTTTTCTTCATTAACTTTGACATCTGAAAATAGGGGCGAATTATTTTTCTCCTCAATTTTTATTTTATTACTTACAATTTTTAAATATATATGTATATAATAAAAATTCATTTTTTATACAAATTCTTTTTTGCTTCTGGCTCTTGGAAAATAATAAATATTACATGGTTACATTATGCACTAAGAGGATTAAAAAAAATGTACAATAATGTGAAAAATGGAGGAGTAGCAAAATAAATCCCTCAAGAGGTTTCACAAACCATCCCTTCTTTTTTTTTTTTATTATTAACGTAGAAAATATATTTCATAATTAATGCGCATAATGTATCAAAGAAAAAAAAATATGAAAGATAAAAGAAAAATCGTTCATTTTTTTTTTAAATTATACAAGTTTTGTTTTTTTTTTTTGTACGGCAATTTTATATATTAAATATTATATATACTTAACTCTTGTCCATCAGGTAAGAGTTAATTTAAAAAAGGGGAAAAACAAATTATTATATTTAACAGTAAAAAGTATATTTTATCAATTCGTTTCATTTCTCTATGTTTTATTTCCTTTCTTTCTCGTGGTTGAAACCAGTGAGTCTTTTGAGTTATGTCTGCTTCATGCTTGCTCATTCTTCATCATGTTAAGTTTCATGTTTTCTTTTGCGCCATACAATTTTTACATTAAAGTATATTTTTTTTTTTATTTCTGTCAAAATAAATTCAGAATTATTTTTTTGTAAATCAAAAATATAGTAAAATTATATTAAAATATAATATTTGTAACAATTTATTGAAATATTATATAGTAACATATATATTGAAATATTAAATACAAATATTAAAATTTATATAAATATTAGTAAATAATATTGAAATAGGTCGGTGAAAAAAAAGACTTTAAAATTCGAATATATCTAGGTGAAGATCCAAAGTGTCCTTAGGTTTGATTGCTTTCGAAACTAAAACGCTTGAAAATGTAAAAGCTCTCTTATGGCCAAAAGAGATCCTCTGTACGCATTATAATCGAAAGCTTTCAAATTTAAAAGGTTTTTGAAATTTGAAGATATTTTTATATCTTGAATATATAGCTCGGAAAATTTATTATACATTTCTGTATATCATTTTTTTTTATATAGGTGATAGTGAGTTTTTTTTTATAATTCAGTTCTTACAAAGAAAAAAAATTACATATATAATTATATATTTTAACAAAAAAATTAATTAACAAATAAATAAATAATAATAATAGTAGTAAGGAAATATTTAATATGTAAAATGAATTTCGCTATTTACTTAGAAGAAAAAAATACTAAAACGTTTTATAGACAATACGCTCAGTATAAAGTGCACTAAAGATAATTAAACAGTTTTATATGCAATTCTAATTACGTAATTAATAGTATGTAGGTTTTGTTCCATTTTCTCGCTAAAGGGTAACGTATTTACTTAGATCCCAATGTTAATCAGTGTAATGCAGGACAAATGATAATTAACAGGTAGACAAAAATAAAAAAAAAAAAACATGAATTATGCAAGGCAAGAAGCAATAAAAATTTTAAAGACTCACGTTTTCTGTTTTCTAAACTTAAATATCTTTTTAAGAGAGATTTTTCTAAAGGGAAGCACAAAAATTATTTTTAATTCGTTATTTTCAAATATTCCCGCGTTTGCGCATTGAATTAGACTTTGACTGTAGATGGCGCTACTGTCTTTCTCTCTCGCAAACGATATACTACTATTTTAATATAAATAGCTACAGTAAAGTATTACTATTAAAAAATATTTTTCACACTAAAAGTTTAAATTACACATTGACTGATAAATATAAAAAGAAAGATAAAAGATGTTATTTTTTAAAAATTTTTTCTTTCTTCACCATTAGCATAAAAATTGTTTCTGTATTAAATTATCTATTTGGAATTAAATTTCTACAGTACAAAATTAAATTCTATAAACAAAAAAGTGGAATATGAAAAATAATAAAAATTCCATATCTATATATATATTTTCTAAACATTTCAAGTTAAATATCTTTTTAAGAGAGATTTTTTCTAAAGGGAAGCACAAAAATTATTTTAAATTCGTTATTTTCAAATATTCCCGCGTTTGCGCATTGAATTAGGCTTTGACTGTAGATGGCGCTACAGTCTTTCTCTCTCGCAAACGATGTACTACTATTTTAATATAAATAGCTGCAGTAAAGTATTACTATTAAAAAATATTTTTCATACTAATATTTTAAAATCACACATTGACTGATATGTATAAAAAGAATTTGGATTGTTTCTGTATTAAATTATCTATTTGGAATTAAATTTCCACAGTGCAAAATTAAATTCTATAAACAAAAAAGTGGAATATGAAAAATAATAAAAATTCCATATCTATATATAAAACTGAAGTGAATGAATGTAAATGCAGTAATGGGAGAATGAACTCGACATGAAAATGTATTTTGACAGTAAAAGATGAAAGGTAAAGGAGTAAGTAAATTTCGACCCCGTGAGGGTGAGTGAGAGAGAGAGAGAGAGAAAGGTTGAAGTTGAAGGAACCGGCAGGTTGTTCTCTCCTCGTGGTGGTTGCCGGTAAAGTTCATCGTGTCGCCGTAGGTCACGATGGCGCTTCGCTGCTCCAATCTTCTTCAGTCAGTCGCGGGACGCTGTGCGGGGTACTCATTGTATTGTCAACTCAGCCCTTTCATGATATCTTCACTTCTCCTTCATTATATTTATCATTATCACAATGAAATTTTTTTCTTCACAAATTTTCATGAATGAAATACTTATTCAAATTGAATGTAAATGACATTTTTTCTTGTTTCGAATCATCATTATTTGCAAAAAAAATTATAATCTCGCAAATATTGTGATTTGTGTTTATTTATTTATTTTTTTGGTTTTTTTTTCATAGAAAAAAAATTTTTGATAAGTGTTACAAAAAAAAAAAACATTCTAGTGATAATAAACTTTCTTTTTTGTGATGAAATTCAATTCAGGATGAAAAACTCTTTTTCAGTGTGAAGATATAAAAAAAGGGAGACAATAATGGTGAGTTTATAAATATTTTTTCCAAACAGAAAAATTATTTATAACTACTTTTATGAATTAGAATGAAAAAAATTAAATGAAATTTATATGAAAATAAATTTATTTGAGATTGAAGTAATAACGTCAATATTGATAATTACATTTCAACTGCACATTTAGATTATAATTTATAATTTTCAAAAAAAAATTGCAAATTTTTCACAATATCGGGAAAAAATTATATGTAAAATGATAATGTTGGTGCATTTTTGTAATGTATCTAATATAAACTGTTAGATAAGAAAAAAAATAATCTAGTTTAACTGGAATTTAGTTTTGAATTTATTTACATATATACTCTTGACAGTCATTTGGAAGTAAATGATATTATTTTTATAAAATAGACGCACGAATTGGAAATAGCGTATATATATATTATACTTGTTGACTTCAGGAAATTGTTAGGAAAAATTTTAATTGACATTTTAGTTAAAACTTGGGACATTAGAGATTTATTAGAGCAAAATGTATGTATACACATTTTTCATTCATGTCCAACCAATTTTCTAATTAACCGTATACAATTTGCGATTAAATTCAAAAGCTAATTTCAAATCAGATATCAAACCTCATTCATTATATATATATATACTTTTCTCACACACATAGACAAACAAATTGACTAACTTCTGTAGAATAATTATTATAATAGATTAAATAATAAATTAAAAAAATTTTTTTTAACAAAAAAGAAATAGAAGAAAAATATGATTATAAATAATTATAATTTAAGGGGATGTGTATAAATATTTGATTTTTATACATATGATGAAAAAAGATGCTCTTAAGAGCAGGTGAATAAATTGATGAACGCGTCGACAGTAACATAAAAACTAAGAAATTTTTAGTTGTATATGACTTGGTGTTCTTTTTCTCTATTGAAAATCTTCCTAGCTCTGTCATTCTCAAAGGCGCATGCGAATTGGGCAAAAGAGAGAAAGAGAGAGAGAGAGAGAGAGATGCCTAACCGTGGAGTACATTCTTATGGTATTACCACCCGTGAAACATTTCTTACACACCCCGCGCTTTCTTGTCCCTTTTACCCCACCCCCAATAGAGCGAGATTTACCCCGATTCCACGTACATTTATTTTTATAATTGTATAAATAATATACAAATTATTTACTATATAATTACTATTTTTTATACTATAATCCTATTTATACTATAGTACTATTTATTTATATAATCTATATTTTTGTCCAAATTTGAAAAAAAAAATAAAATTAAATGCAAAGATGAGACAAGTTTTTGGATGATGTGGAGGAGAACACATATGTATGTATATATATAGGGGACACGTGTATTGCGCAGGTGTATACATAAATACACAGAATACCAAGCGAATTGCTTTTCCATTGATTAACGAAACGACCATTAGTGAAATTAATGGCACGCACGATCAATAGCGCCGCGTTTCGAAACTTGCAAATCTATGAATTAGATAGGAGTTAGGAGTATCTATTCGATCTTGAACAGATTTCTCTGAGATTCGTGTAATAAGAGTAAGAGAGGGGAGGGAGAGAAGTTACGGAAATCCAGTTTGGTAAATGGAGTGGCTCGATACAAGAGAGAGAGCAAGCCGGATTCTAAGGCAGTGGGATGTAATTGATTAGTCAAAGAGATTGGATTTAATTTGTTAGTCGAATTATGTTAATTGCCGCTTCGTGTATTGCTATATTCAGATATTGCGATATTATTTCTTAAATGGCTTATTAATTTGTGATTATATATTTTTAAGTGCGGAGAAAAAAACAGTAGCATTGTATTTAGTATTTGTTTTATGATATTTCGATTGTAATATAATACAATTTAATACAATTTAATACCATACAATACAGAACAATACAATACGGTAGAGTAAAATATAGTATCATACAATGTAGTATAATACAATGCAATACAATACAATACAATAATAGAATACGATAGAGTAAAATATAGTACCATACAATGTTGTATGATACAATACAATATATTACAATATATAGAATACCATACAGTACAATATAATATGATACAGTACAATACTATGTTGTATAATACAATATAGTACATTACAATAATACGTTATGATACTATATGATACAGTACAGAACAATATAATACAATACAATGTACTTCAATATAATATACTAAAATAGGTACGATACAGTGCAGTATAATACAATATAGTACAATACAATGTTATACAGTACACTATAGTGAAATACAGTTCAGTATGATACAATACAATAAAATACAATACGATAAAGTACAATACAATAGAATTAACTAAACGAAATACAATAAAGTATAGTATGATACAATATAGTACAATAAAACACAACAGACTACAATGGAATACAATACAATAAAGTACAGTATAGTACAATCTTATACAATACAATACAATATACTACAATAGGTACGATACAGTACAATACAATACAGTGCAGTATGATACAATACAATAAAATACAATACGATAAAGTACAATACAATAGAATACAATAGAATTAACTAAACGAAATACAATAAAGTATAGTATGATACAATATACTACAATAAAACACAACAGACTACAATGGAATACAATACAATAAAGTACAGTATAGTACAATTTTATACAATACAATACAATATACTACAATAGGTACCATACAGTACAATACAATACAATACAGTTCAGTATGATACAATACAATATGATACATTACACTATAGTAAAATACAGTGCAGTATGATACAATACAATATGATACATTACACTATAGTAAAATACAATTCAGTATGATACAATACAATATAATAGAATATAATAGAATACAATAAATTACAATACAATAAAATACAATATAATACAATATTATACAATACATTAAAATACAATAGATTACAACAGAATACAATACAATAAAGTACAGTATAAGACAATGCGATACTATAGAATACAATGCAGTATAAATATTATACAATAAAATACAATACGATAACGTACAATACAATAGAATACAATAGAATTAACTAAACGAAATACAATAACGTATAGTATGATACAATATAGTACAATACAACACAACAGACTATAATGGAATACAATACAATAAAGTTCAGTATAGTACAATTTTATACAATACAATACAATATACTACAATAGGTACCATACAGTACAATACAATACAGTTCAGTATGATACAGTACAATATGATACATTACACTATAGTAAAATACAGTGCAGTATGATACAATACAATATGATACATTACACTATAGTAAAATACAGTTCAGTATCATACAATACAATATAATAGAACATAATAGAATATAATAGAATACAATAAAGTACAATACAATAAAATACAGTATAATACAATATTATACAATACAATAGAATACTATAGAATACAATAGAATACAATAGAATACAATAGAATAAAATACAATAAAGTGCAGTATTAGACAATGCGATACAATAGAATGCAATGCAGTGTAAATATTATACAATATTATAATTTTTTCAGATCGTTTTTTTGCGTTTGAAACTTTTTCTCACTATTAATAGTAATATTTTTCTAAAAATTAGTGAATATTTCTACTAATTTAAATTGATGAACAAATTCTCACTAATTCAAAATTTGGAGAATATAAATTTTGATCTGAAACCCCCATGGTGTCAGTTCACGTGAAGAGCATTTTCACCAGAAACCATTCTGTAGAAAAGATAACAATAAGAATGGCCCATGTGCGCGCAAAAAAAAAGAAAAAAAAATTTTTTCCTCCTTTTTGTGATTGTCATTTTTTTTTTCCCTACTCTGCCAAATGGTTTCCGTAGAATCTTTTCATCTGGATTCGTCCTGCTGTAATATCAGCCTGTTGCTTATGGTATATGAGAGAGAGAGATTGTTCATCAGGACTTGACTTTTTTTTTTAAACAATCGGAAGAGATTAAAAAAAAAGAATTTTTAGATATTTTATTAAATTTTATTATTATTATTATTTTATTTGGTTGTTATTTTAATATTTCTTTTTCTTTTTTGTTTCAGGAATTTTCGTCAAAATTCTCAATAATCGCGATCGCTTAAATATTTAAAAAAAAATTTTTTTGTTTCTTAATTTAAATTTCGGGAGTGTACGAAATTCTTAAAACCGCGATCGTTGATCAATGAAAAAAGTATATTTTCCAAAAAAAAATATTTTGTTTTCCATAATTATTAGAAACATGTTTTCGGGAGTGGTCGAAATTTTTTAAATCGCGTTCGCTTTAATATTTTAGAAAAACTATTTTTTTTTCCTATAATTATTTAAAAACATGTTTTCGGGAGTGATCGTTTTTTAAATTGTGTGTTTCCAGTACAATCATCCAAAAATATATATAATATATATGATCATCAATTGCTGATTAAGGTTAGAAAAATTTTATTTTAAAAACAAATTTATTGAAAAATATAGGGCAAATTTTACATTTTCTTTGTATGAAAAAAAAAATTCGAAATAATTAAATTCGACTGTTGGTTGAAAAATCGACGAGTCATTTTTTTTTCCATTGGAGGGAAGCTTTATTGATTTTTAAATACAGTTTAAATACTGTTGTTAATGGCTTGACTTTTGATTTGTACGGAAATGCATTATATTTAAATAAAATAAACAAAGTTTTGAATTGTAAAATATGAAAAAAAAATTTATAAAAATAGAATTTCGAATTTTATTATTCAATTTATATAATACGAACATGATTCATCTATTTTAGTGATCCCCGCCTACTTTTTGAGTTGTTCCTTGTACGCTTTGTTTATTTTATAATTATCATGTAGATTCTGTCAGCGAACAATCGACTGGCGCCTGCGGGTTATTTATTTTTTTTTCTTTTATCTTAAATTGAAACCCATTTACATATGAATGATGAATAATATATATATATATATAAAAAAAACATTTAAGATATAATTAATTATAATTAAAATTTAATTTAAACTAAATTTTAACTATAACAAATTTAAAAGTGGAAAAAAATCTCATTTTTCATGTTATACTAAAGTAGATATTTTTCTAAATATACACGGTCAGTAATCTGATGAGGGTTGTAAATTTAACTGCATTTCCCTTAAGAGTAGATATATATTTCCAAGTATAAAATATGTATCGGATAAAGAGAGAGAGAGAGAGAGAGAGAGAGAGAGAGAGAGAGAGAGAGAGAAGGAGAAAGTCGGTCGAGTTGTAAACGATTCTCTGGTACAGTAATATGGCCACGATTCGTTAAACACCCCTTAAAACGGGGGTGAATTTTTCCTTTCGCTAAGGGAGAAAGGTATCTCACGCGAGAGCAAGAGCATTATTCACATACAATGACTTGCTTGTCCTATAGGCGACGATGTCACGCACGCAATTATTTCGCGGATCGGTGGTTCGATAAATATTTTCCTCAAGAATATAATTTTTTCCTCTCATATACGATGTGCAACGTTGATATAACAACTCTTATACAATTTTTAGATGTACATGGAAAAAAAAATTTATTGTGTCAACCACAAATCCAATTCTAGAATAGACAAAAAAAACTGTGCTGTACACAAAAAAATTTTCCATACGCCAAAAATTTTGTTTTGTTCACAATTCTGATTTGTGTATTTCCCAAATTTAGCTATTTTGTGGAGAGTACAACTGCGATTTGTAGATAACACAAATTTTTTTGCTTGTAAAGAAAATGTGTTTAAATATACGAGTCGAAAGGTGACTAGAAATTTTCTAAATATATGTAATTTCACCTGCCGATGACGACCACTCCCTTTATGGGTTATACGGGTCCACTCGAGAGACGAGCTTATAATTATCTCACTGTTAAAAGAATGGCTTTCTCTCACGCATTGCAAAAATTAGTTTATCAGCAGCAATTCATTATGTTATTAATGTTTTTTATAATAACGGGTGAAATTCTAACGCACATCAACCATTTTTTTTTCTCTCTTCGCTTTTTATATATCGCGTGTGTTAACATGAGGGTTGCTATATTTACATCAATTTCAAGAAAATGCCTCTCTTGCTGGCATTTTCTCTAAAGGAGGGGTCGTCGTAATGAAATATTCGTTTCTGCTGAGTAATTCTCTTAGGCATTTGTTATTTTGTAATCAGTACCGGAATTTAGAAATCGAGGTTCCATTTTCCAAAATCACCTTAAAAAATTTTGCTCTTCTAGGTTTAAAATTTCTCAACAAAAATTAGGTTTTTTCATAATTTTTTGATGAGATTTTGAAATTCATTAGTAAAAAGTAAAAATAAATATTTTTTTTATCATCATATCAATTAAATCAGGAAATCAATTGAATAAAAAGACTTTTTTTTGAAAAAAAAAGAAAAATCCTTTTGTTTCCCGATGTAATCGAATTCAAGACAAAAGAAGAGAATACAATTACAAAATTCCACGGATATATATATATATATTGTGTGCTGCTTGAAATGTTTAGAGTTTGCAAGCACGATGACTCGCTATGACGTTTACAATCGTCGTAACTTTTCTACTTGAAAATTGGGTTCGCAAGATTGAAAAGCAAAGCCCGCGAAATCATAAATCGCCGTCGTTATACGATGCCAACGATCTAAAGGAGACTTATTTTACTCGCATTCTTAATGGAAGCTTGGCATGCCATAGCAACGAGAGTATAAGGTCGACCTCAATCCCGCAGGCTGTTGAATCGAGTCGAGAAAGAGAGAGAGAGAAAGAGAGAGTAGCTTCAGATCCTTTCGTTTGAGAGAAAAATCAGGAAAAACCTATATATAATAATGGTTTTCTAAAAGTGAGGAGGGGAAGGTAAAAAAAAAAAAACTGTAATGAAATCTTGTTCCTTCAAGTTTCTATTCAATTCGAGGATATGAAAAATTATAAGAATGTCAGGGCTTTCTTACTTTCTTTGAAAGTACACTATGCATGTGACATTAATCTTTTTCTTTATGGAAAGATGATATTATATTTCCATTTCTATTTAATATTTTCAATATATAGGAATGAAAAAATATTTTTGTACAGTCTATTTTCGTTATTATCACATATTAAAAAACCCAAATGAATTAATGATTCTTTATACACCGCACCATATAATGATAATTGGATAATACTAAAAAGCCATAATAGAAAGTCATTTTGTTGAGAGATCGTTAAACCAATCGAAAAATTGTTCACTCGTAAAAAAAAATTCCCAATCGATTTTCAATTCTGATGGGGTAAAAAAAAAAAATTTACCCTGTGAAATAAAAGAGAAACCTTTTAACGCATCAGCGGCTTTCTAGTGTGGCATTCAGTCATCAAAATTTAATTTGCACTCACGTTTTTTTTTTGCCTTATTTTTATCTGTTGATATCGAAATTACGGAAAAAAATCTATTTGTTTTAAATTAGTTTTACTATAGTAATATCAAAAAAAATTAAAGGAGTAAGACGTCTGACTAAAACGTACTTTTACTACTGATACAAAATGGAGAAATATATATTTTTAAAAATTTTCTTACAACTAGTTTTTACTATACTAATTAGGCTAAATACTTTTACTACTAATAGAAAAATTTTGATTCTTCAAAATAAGTCTGACTGAAACTGACCTTTACTACTTATATAGAAAATTATATTTTTTTCTTGTCTGATTAAAACGTACTTTTACTACTGATAAAAAATAGAGAAATACTTTTTAAAATTTTCTTACTACTATTTTTTACTATACTAATTAGGCATTTGGTCTGACTAAAAATACTTTTACTACTAATACAAAAATTATGCTTCAAAATAAGTCTGATAGAAACTGACCTTTACTACTGATATAGAAAATTACAATTTTTTTCTTGTCTGACTAAAACGTAGTTTTACTACTAATACAAAAATTACAAATATTTTACCTATTCTCTTATACCTTTTTTGTACTAATTCCAAATTAGAACCATTTAGTCTGACTAAAATACACTTTTACTACTAATAACAAAATTTTAAGATTCTTAAGTAAGTCTGACAGTAACTGACTTTTACTACTGACAAAAATTACAAATATTTTAAACGTTGTCTTACAAATTCTTTTCACTATACTAATTGCAAATTAGTACCATTTAGTCTGACTAAAATATACTTTTACTACTAATACAAAAATTTTTATGCCTCAAAATAAGTCTGACAGAAACTGACCTTTACTCTTTATATAGAAAATTACATATTTTTTTCTTGTCTGATTAAAACGTTCTTTTACTACTGATAAAAAATAAAGAAATACTTTTTAAAATTTTCTTACAACTATTTTTTACTATACTAATTAGGCATTTAGTCGGACTAAAAAATACTTTTACTACTAATACAAAAATGTTGATGCTTTAAAATAAGTCTGACAGAAACTGACCTTTACTACTAATATAGAAAATTACACTTTTTTCTTGTCTGACTAAAACCTAGTTTTACTACTAATACAAAAATTACAAATATTTTACCTATTCTCTTATATACCTTTTTTGTACTAATTCCAAATTAGAACCATTTAGTCTGACTAAAATATACTTTTACTACTAATAACAAAATTTTAAGATTCTTAAGTAAGTCTGACAGTAACTGACTTTTACTACTGACAAAAATTACAAATATTTTAAACGTTGTCTTTCAAATTCTTTTCACTATACTAATTCCAAATTAGTACCATTTAGTCTGACTAAAATATACTTTTACTACTAATACAAAAATTCAAAGATACACTGAAAAAAAAAATTTATTTGATTCAAATACCGGTGTATTTGGTTATTATCAAATAAATATTTACTTGAATCAAATATTTCAGTATTTGAAGCAAATACCATTTATTTGATTCAAATAAGAAATATTTGATTCAAGTAAATATTTATTTGATAATAACCAAATACACCGGTATTTGAATCAAATAAATTTTTTTTTCACTGTATTAAGTAAGTCTGACAGAAACTGACCTTTACTACTGATTACAAACAATTTTTAAAAGTTCTCCTCTATTTTTAAACTACTTATTAAAAATTACATGAATTAAAAATATTTATATATTTTCCGACAAAAATCGTCTTCATTTAAAATAATATGCAATAAAAAATAAAAAATATTTCTATTTTCTCGATATAAGCCTAACAGCTTATAATATCCCCCTCAAGATGATGGTCTTGTCATCTACTGCGCTTCGTTTAACAGCGTGTGACCTGAAATAGCGTTTATATAAGCTTGCCTCGAATGAAGTAGTTGAACGTGCGGGCGAATGTTCATAGGGATTACCAGGCTCAAAGAGATAAACCGACCGACACGCGAAACTGCCCGCAATACTCGCTATAATTACTTACTTACAAATAATAATCGCAGAACAGGTGCACCATTTACAGACAGCAATTAGTATACTCGAGTCGACAGCAAAAAAGAAAAAAAATATG